TTACATAATGGTAAAAGGATCAATGCAACGAGAAAAGCTAACAATCCTAAATATATACGCACCCAATACAGGAGCACTCAGATACATAAAGCAAGTTCTTAATGACTCACCAAGACACTTATAGTCTCCCACTATTATTGTGTGGAAGTCTAACATTCCGCTGTCAACATTAGACAGATCAACCAGACAGAAGATTAACAAGGATATCCAGGACTTGAACTCAGACCTGGAACAAGCAAACCTAACAGACATTTACAGAACCCTCCACCCCAAATCCACGGAATATACATTCTTCTCAGCACCACATCACACCTACTCTAAAATTGGCCACATAATTGGAAGGAAATCACTAAGCAAATGCAAAAGAACAGAAATCATAACAAACAGTCTCTCGGACCACAGTGCAATCAAGTTAGAACTCAGAATTCAGAAGCTAACTCAGAACCGCACAGCTTCATGGAAACAGAACAACTGGCTCTTGAATGTTGACTGGATAAACAATGAAATAAAGGCAGAAATAAAGATGTTCTTCGAAATCAATGAGAACAAAGACACAACATACCAGAATCTCTGAGACACATTTAAAGCAGTGTTTAGAGGAAAATATACAGCAATAAATGCCCACATGAGAAGCAAGGAAAGATCTAAACTCAACACCCTATCGTCAAAATTGAAAGAGCTAGAGGAACAAGATCAAAAAAGTTAGCAGAAAACAAAAAATAACTAAGATCAGAGCAGAACTGAAGGAGATAGAGCCACAAAAAACCCTTCAAAAAATCAATAAATCCATGAGCTGGTTTTTTGAAAAGATCAACAAAATAGACCACTAGCCAGATTAATAAAAAAGAAAAGAGAAAAATCAAGTAGATGCAATAAAAAACGATAAAGGGGATATTACCAGATTCCACAGAAATACAAACCATCATCAGAGATCATTACAAACAACTCTATGCACATAAACTAGTAAAGCTGGAAGAAATGGATAAATTCCTAGACAATTGCATCTTCCCAAGTCTAAACCAGGAAGAAGTTGAAACTCCGAATAGACCAATAACGAGGGCTGAAGTTGAGACAGCAATTAATAGCCTACCAACCAGGAAAGGCCCAGGTCCAGATGGGTTCACTGCCGAATTCTACCAGACATACAAAAAGGAGCTGGTACCATTCCTTCTGAAACTATTCCAAACAATCAAAAAAGAGGGAATCCTTCCCAAATCATTTTATGAGACCAATATCCTGATTTCAAAACATGGCAGAGACTCAACAAGAAAAGAAAACTTCAGGCCAATATCCATGATGAACATTGATGCAAAAATCTTCAATAAAACACTGGCAAGCCGACTGCAACAGCACATCACAAAGCTTATCCATCACGATCAAGTAGGCTTCATCCCAGGGATGCAAGTCTGGTTTAACATATACAGTTCTATAAACATAATTCACCATATAAACAGAACCAAAGACAAAAACCACATGATTATCTTAATAGATGCAGAGAAGGCCTTTGACAAAATTCAACAGCCCTTTATGCCAAAAACCCTCAATAAGCTAGGTGTTGATGGAACATATCTCAAAATAATAAAAGCTTTTACGGCAAACGAACAGCCAGTATCATACTGAATGGGCAAAAACTGGAAGCATTCCATTTGAAATGTGGCACTAGACAAAGATGCCCTCTCTCACCACTCCTATTCAATATAGTACTGGAAGTTCTAGCCAGAGCAATCAGGGAAGAAAAGGAAATAAAGGGTATTCAATTAGGAAAGGAGGAAGTCAAATTGTCTCTATTTGCAGACAACACGATTGTATATTTAGAAGACCCCACTGTCTCAGCCCAAAATCTCCTGAAACTGATAAGCAACTTCAGCAAAGTCTCAGGATATAAAATCAACATGCAAAAATCACAAGCATTCCTATACACCAATAACAGACCGAAAGAGAGCCAAATCAAGAACAAACTGCCATTCACAATTGCCACAAAGAGAATAAAATACCTAGGAATACAATTAACAAAGAATGTAAAGGACCTCTTCAAGGAGAACTATAAACCACTGATGAGGAAAATAAGAGAGGACACAAACAGATGGAGAAACATTCCATGCTCACGGTTTAGGAAGAATCAATATTGTGAAAATGGCCATACTGCCCAAAGTAATTTACAGATTTGATGCTATCCCCATCATGCTACCAATGACCTTCTTCACAGAACTGGAAAAAACCACCTTAAACTTTATATGGAATGAAAAAAGAGCCCGTATAGCCAAGGCAATTCTAAGCAAAAAGAACAAAGCGGGAGGCATCACACTACCTGACTTCAAACTATACACAAGGCTACAGTAATCAAAACAGCATGGTACTGGTACCAAAACAGAGACATAGACCAATGGAACAGAACAGAGGCCTCAGAGGCAATGCCACACATCTACAACCATCTGATCTTTGACAAACCTGACAAAAGCAAGCAATGGGGAAAGGATTCCCTATTTAATAAATGGTGTTACGAAAACTGACTAACCATGTGCAGAAAGCAGAAACTGGACCCCTTCCTGACACCTTACACTAAAATTAACTTCAGATGGATTAAAGACTTAAACATAAGACCTAACACCATAAAAACCCTGGAAGAAAATCTAGGCAAAACCATTCAGGACATAGGCGTAGGCAAGGACTTCGTGAATAAAACACCAAATGCATTGGCAACAAAAGCCAAAATAGACAAATGGGACCTAATCAAACTCCACAGCTTTTGCACAGCAAAAGAAACAGTAGAGTGAATTGGCAACCAACAGAATGGGAAAAAATTTTTGCAATCTACCCATCTGAGAAAGGGCTAATATCTAGAAATCTACAAAGAACTAAGATTTACAAGAAAAAAACAAGCCCATTCAAAAGTGGGTGAAGGATATGAACAGACACTTTACAAAAGAAGACATACATGAGGCCAACAAACATATGAAAAAATGCTCATCATCACTGGTCATCAGAGAAATGCAAATCAAAACTGCATGAGATAACATCTCATGCCAGTTAGAATGGCGATCATTAAAAAATCTGGAGACAACAGATGCTGGAGAGGATGTGGAGAAATAGGAACACTTTTACACTGTTGATGGGAGTGTAAATTAGTTCAACCATTGTGGAAGACAGTGTGGTGATTCCTCAAGGACCTAGCAATAGAAATTCCATTTGACCCAGCAATCCCATTACTGGGTATATACCCAAAGGATTATAAATCGTTCTATTATAAGGACACATGAACACAAATGTTCACTTTGGTACTGTTTACAATAGCAAAGACCTGGAACCAACCCAAATGCCCATCGATGATAGACTGGACAGGGAAAATGTGGCACATGTACACCATGGAATACTATGCAGCCATAAAAAACAATGGGTTCATGTCCTTTGTAGGGACATGAATGAACCTGGAAACCATCATTCTCAGAAAATGACAGAAGAACAGAAAATCAAACACCACATGTTCTCACTCATAGGCAGGTGTTGAACAATAAGAATACATGGACACAGGGAGGGGAGCATCGCACACTGGGGTCTGTGGCAGGGTGGGGGGGAAATGGGAGGGACAGCAGGGGTTGGGGAGAGTTGGGGAGGAATACCATGGGGAGAAATGCCAGACACAGGTGATGGGGAGGAAGGCAGCAAACCACACTGCCATGTGTGTACCTATGTAACAATCTTACATGTTCTTCACATGTACCCCAAAACCTAAAATGCATTAAAAAAAGACTTGCTCAAGGCTCAAATGACTGTTAGCATATTTAGCAATAACGTATTTTCAAATTAAAAAAAAAAAAACACGAGATCTGAAAAGCTGTCAAAATTCAGTTCCCATTGTTCCATACTGTATAAAACCACTATGGGTTAACTTTCAGCAAATGCAAACTAAAAAACAAAGTACTTACTTGTCTGAAAAAGAAAATATAGTTGAATACAATTTCAAAAGTACCATTCTGAATATAAATGTACTTTTTTTTTTTTAAACAAAGCTTTCCATTTCCCCAGCCTACAAAAGGGAGCAATTTAAAATCTACAACCACCTGAGGCCTGTTCTCTGTTACAGCTTTTCCGTTCTTATACAACAGAGTGGCTTTGAAATTGCATTTTGAAGTTGTCTTCCATTTAAATTGTTAATTAAAAAGAAAATGACACTGGATAAAGAAAAAGTCAATGTTACCTTTCCACCCTAGTTTGCCTTAAAGGAATTTTTTTTTTCCAAATAAACAGTCTACAACATCAGGGTAGCTGATAAGGAAACAGTTTTTTAATATGAAATTCAGTAAATCAAAAACAGTGAATAAGTCCTCGCTTTGCTCCATTCACCTTTCCTGGATCTGTCTTACTGTACACGTTTAATGTTCAGATGTCAGACTTTGGTAGCATGGTACAAATACATACTGCAAATTGGGAACTGTATGCATAATCCAATGATATTTTTGATAGAACTTTATGTACATGCATTGAAAAATGTTTTTAAAATGCCCACTAGACTATTAACTGTGGTTACCCTTCAAGGAGGAAGGTGTGGAAAGAGGAGTTAGGAATGCAAATTTCACTTTGTGTATCTGTTAGCTGAATTTATCAACAAGCATGTGCTATAATATTATGTAATCAGTAAAATTAAATCTATAATGTAAAAGTGCATGATCTAGGCTGGGCATGTTCACTCCTACCTGAAATCCCAGCACTTTGGGATACCGAGGCGGGCGGATCACCTGAGGTCAGGAGTTCCAATCCAGCCCAGCCAACATGGTGAAACCCGGTCTCTACTAAAACTACAAAAATTAGATGGGCCTGTAATCCCAGCTACTTGGGAGGCTCAGGCAGGAGAATCGCTTGAACCCAAAGGCGGAGGTTGCAGTGAGCTGAGATCATGCCATCGCACTCCATCCTGGGCAACAAGAGCAAAACTCTGTCTCAGAAAGAAAAAGAAAGTGCATGATCGATTACGTTTTACTGCTAAATATTTACATTCCACGTACCTGAACATAAAAATTTAAGAAGAGAATGACTAATGTCAGCATGTAAGACGACTGGAAGATGAGACAACCAAACGGGAAGCCACACGGTTTCACTACAGCGCTCATGGTGTGCGTGATGGTGAGCACAAACTGCACCTGGGGATGGCAGAGAGGGCGTCTTTGTGAGCAAGCCAGGCTGTGCCACACAGACACTGCGGCGAAGCTTTATCAATTCAGAAATCAACTCCTAGAATTCTCAGAATGATGTGGGAATAAAACAAAGATGCTGAAGCAGCCCTGTCATCCAGCAATCTTATTTGAAATTATATTAGTATGTAAAATTGCCCATTATTTTCTCATGGAAAAGTCACAGCTAAAATTATTCAGACAAAAAGGATTTAACTTACACATTAATTTGAAAAGTATTCATCTATTTCAAAGCAAGGAACTTTCCACTACAAGCTAATTGCATGCACAAAGGGCATTTTAATACACAAAGTTTAATTCTTAAAAGGCCATTTTTGGGAAAAAAAAAATAGGCAGCCTCATCACACATAAAAAGCCCTCTGACTTCTAAGACAGATTTCTATTTCCTTTCCCCATCCACAAGCCACATGGAGAAAAGCTGAAAGAAGGGACAACATACCAGTTGAGCCTGTGTGAGGTATTTCTTCCACCAAAGATACTTGTGCATAGATGGAAACACAGAAAGTCCATAGTAGGAGTACATAAGAATGTGGATAAAACTGTTCAGTGTCGGTCCAAAGAAACCTATAAAAGTACAGTATAAAAATCACTTTTTCCAGAAGGGACTGTTCATTCTTCTTTGTCAAGTGAGATTCTCTCTGTGCATGGTAATTGAAAATGAATAGCACATGTGACATCATCATATAACAAAATCGGCAATGATAAATTCCCCAATTATTGTGCCACTTCTAGGATTCAGCAAAAACTCCATGATAGAAGTACTGGCCTGGGACGGCTTTTTAGAATGCCACCCAGATGGAACGCCTTATCTAGGAGGTTTTACTGTCTCTCTGTCACTACTATCAGCTACTGAGGGAAGAAAAGAGATACTAGCTTAAAGCTGGTGGCAGAATTCCTCTGAAATAGAATTGTCTTTGCTTTGGCTAAACCTTTGATAAGACATACTGACTGTAGAAAGAGCCTTCTGTACATGGCTGAACAACTGCTTTCATAATTAAGTAAATAAATTCTACCTGAAAGACACTTAGGGACCAGGAGGTGCTGGAGAAAGATGGGAGACAGACAAGGCTAGAGTGGAGGAGAAACCAGCCAGCGAGACCTTCCCAGTGACTGGTCACATTGCAGGTACGTTTAGGATGAGGGATATCTAAAATCCAGATCCCTGCCATTAACCTCATGAAAAATCTCTATAACTGCCTCCACCATGGGTGAATAAGGCTTCAGGAACCCATAGAGAAAAGGGTCATGTTCCATGTTGGGTCAGCTAAACATTGAAAGGATTTAGCTCCAAGAGGTAAGATGCCATAGATGCATCACTTGTTGGAAGTAAGGAAGCTCAGTGTTGTGGGATTTCATCAGTACACGAAAGTGCTTAGAACAATGCTTGGCACAAAGTGCATACTCTTCAGCTGTCAGCTCGGGATCCAGATGGCTGTTCTGTGAGCTATCCTGTGGTGGGAGAGACTGTGGCATTAGAGGGCCATTTATTGGCTATGTCCCCTTGGAGACAGTGCTTCGACTGTAAATTTTTGTTTTCTTACCTGGATAATAGGTATAATAATAATAATTAGCTCTTATGGTTGTGAAGAAATTAACTGAGATAACATGCTGTATGAACTAAAAAGCACTCACATATGCTGGCTAATAAATCAATTTAAATTCTCTAGCCTGGTTTTCTAATCCTAGATTAGTGATCTGGATAGCTAAATGCAAATGAATAAATAAGAAACAAAAGGTATAATACCATGCATATAGTAAATTCTCAACCAATGCTGGCTGAAATAAACTCTGATGGTACTTGAATTTATATGAAAACACAAATATTCAGACTACCAAGTAACATAGTCAGTGCCATTTCTTTACCCACCTGACTTTTCATTTCCATCAATTAATGAACCATGAGTAGTTGTTGCTTATAATGTTTGGCTCCTATGGAAATATAGCACCTTCCACAGTCACCACTTCACTGTGATACAGACTGAGGCATTTCAGAAAATTGAAACGCTGCTCTGGTAGGTCACATATATTTTTTCTAATATTCTTAAGCAGAAATTGTCACATAGTACTCACAGGACTATGTCTTTACACAGTGATGCTTTTGAGTTTTAGATGCTCAGTGATTTGTAATGAAACTTGACAGTCATAAAAATACTTAACCTTGGTAATTCTCCTTTGATATTGATTGTAGCTGTCCTTCCTTTAAACTGAAGAAATTGATCTCGTCCGTCTAGAAGGACAGAGATCAATTCTTTCTTTATTCCCACTGCACTCCCAGCAACTTCCTTCTTTACACTCTAGTTTTCATTTGTACCTTCACAGTTATTGATACTCCAAATATCCCTGGGCATTTTTTTCCCCTAACATCATCCCTGCAGGATCCCAAATCCTAGAACAAAGTCATTTTGACTTAAGTTTTATATGTTCTGGTTTTTCATACAGTATTTTTAAATTCGTGAGTACAGGGCAGTATCAAATAGAAAGTACTGTTCTCTCTAGCTCAGTGCATCTCAAACTGTAGGTCATAACTGACCCGTTAGTGAATGGTGAAGTCAATGCAGTGAGAGTTGTCAACTTTTTGTAAAAGTGAAACAGGATTAAAAAAATACAGTGCATCATACAGAGTCAGGGTAAATACTATTTCATAAAATTTCATATAAAACATAGAAATATGAATGAGCGCCAGGCATAGTAGCTCACACCTGTAATCCCAGCACTTTGGAATGCAGAGGTGGGAGGACTCCTTGAGCCCAGGAGTTCAAGATCAGCCTGGGCAACACAGAGAGACCCTGTCTCTACACTTGTTTTGTTTTGTTGTTTAATGTAAGTGTGCTTTGGCCAGGCACAGTGGCTCACGCCTGTAATCCCAGCATTTTGGGAGGCCGAGGTGGGCAGATTACGAAGTCAGGAGATTGAGACCACCCTGGCCAACATGGTGAAACTCTGTCTCTATTAAAATATAAAAAAATTAGCCGGACGTGGTGGTGTGTACCTATAGTCCCAGACACTCAGGAGGTAGAGGCAGGGGAATTGCTTGAACCTGGGAGGCAGAGGTTGCAATGAGCCAAGATTCCATCTCAAAAAAAAAAAAAAGTGTGCTTTATTATAAAGAAAATTTAAATATAACCAACAATACTGAAAATAATGTAAATGGCATTTATATCCTTGGTCACAGTTCTTTATTAAATAGGCATTTGTTTGGTGTTCCACGAATAGTTAACAGTTCATGCAACAAAACAGATAACTTGAAAAAGTGATTAAGAATACAGAATGACGAACCAGGAATCTGGGGTT